TGCTTCATGGAGAAAATGTGTGTGCTAGATAAGCATTGTTCAGACATGAGTGATAGCGTTGTTGGCCATGAGCTCAGTTTTAATGAATCAGCATATACAGTGAACCCTTGAACAACACGGATTTGAACTGCACAAGTCCACTTATATGTGGATTTTTTTCAATAAATATATTGGAAATTTTTCCAATAAATATATTGGAAAAAATGCATTCATGACATACCTAACCCAAGTAGGCCACCCTACCCCCACCCTCCATACCCATAGTTTGGTGCCCTAAGAGGGGAGGTGGAAAAGCACTCAAAGTACATAAGTATAAGTTAGGTAGATAAGTTTTGCGGGAGTCAAAAGTTATGTGGATTTTCTACTGTGCAGTGTCAGCACCCCTAACCCCTGTATTGTTCAGGGGCCAACTGTTTTAAATAAGGAGTCTTTAAATAGAAGCACATATAAAACAAGATTACGTAGTGAACAGTTGACAAAAATGTTGTGACGGAAGCTTACAGGAACCTAACCTTGTATTTCTCCTAGGAGCAATGGTTCAGTTATTTGCTAATTCAGTTTTCCTAACAACATTATAGAACTTGGCTACTGTGAATATTGAGAACTGACTTTGTCTTCATGATCTGTTGTGCCTTTAACCAGTGAATAGTCTCCTTTGTTCTATATGAAGTTTTTTCCTTTCAGTTTCATTTGATATAAAAATTATTGCTTTGGCCTTTTAGTGTGTGCGTGCACATGCATGCATGCATGCAGGTGTGTTTTCTGTATCTTTTTGTTGAATGTTCATCTCTAGTAGATAACATTTTTCTGGATCTTGATTTGTTGTTTTGGTTGCTCTAGGAATATCTGCTATTTCACTGGCAAATTAAAATTTTAATTGACATGAAGAAGGCAAAGGATAGACCAAGACTAAATGATAAAGTATTTGTTTTACTTTGGGGGAAGATGTGGCTCTTGGTAAGCATAAGAAATTAACAAGAAAATATAAACATAAATGTCAGTTGTAATTCTGTCTGACCAGTAAACCCAGGCAAAAATGTATGTTGACAATTCTGAAGACATTTCTATTTTAATTTTATCAATCAATTTTAAACCAGTTTATTTATTAAAGATTTATTTAGGTCATATAAACTAAAAAGGCATTTCTGGCTGATTATGCCAGAGTTTACTATGTAGATACAATGTACAGCATAATTACATGTATATATGTGTAAACACACCTATATACATACATTTTTATAGCTTTCATTTTAGTCATGAGGTAGTAATATAAACTCACCAGTTAATAAAAGACAATTGAATCCAAGTTATACTTCAGACAAAATGGAGCCTGTTCACATGGCTAAAATTTATTTGTCCTGACAGGTAATCTTATAAAGGCTGTGAACCAGACCTTAGGTAGAGCAATTTTCATATAAGCCTGATTTTCAAAGAAAAGACCTTATATCCTTTCTCCCCCGCTTCAGTTTCAGTTTCAAGTGAGTTTAGGGTATAATTTCCAAGTCGCCTTGAATTTTCAAGTAATTGGTTCCTTTTCTTCCTTATCTTGGCTGAAATGCCATAAAGAATGAGCCTTTGTTTTAACACTTGCAGGAAAGTCAGCAAGTACACACAGATATACAAATTTTGTCCAGAGACTTAGCCAATTATAGCCTTCTGGACCTTAGTTTCTGTTTCTTAAGCTTGCCAAGAGAAACTTGGGCCATTTCTATAGGATGCATCCAGCAGGGGCATGGAGGAGTCATTACCCATTTTAACAAATACAAAACTTTGGAATCTAACACATACATCGGCCAGGCAGCATTGCAAAAAAAAAAAAAAAGTCATTATTTTAACAGATTTAGCACTGACTGCCCAATTACTGGATCCTTTGTTGCAAAAGTAGTAAGACAGCAAAATCTTCCCAAGAAGTGTGACACAATTCCCAAAGACAGTTAACTATCCCAAAGACAAACCCACAGTGGGCTTGGAGAGTTTTAAAGGGGACCAAAGGTCATCTAAGAGTTCTCAAAGTTAACACACATGGGGGAGGAGAGGGTCTGAATTCCTCCCAAATAGTAGCATTAAGAGTGGGCAACATAGGACAGAAAATAGACACACAGGTAGCTCACTCATACACCCTAAATGAAGTGCTTCACCAAGCAAAAGGTTGATTAATTTCACAAAAGTCCTGTCCTGCATCAGTGGTACCTTTTTCTAACAGATGGCACAGACAGAGGACTTCCGGCAGAGTACTCAGGTGGAATGTTCCAGGTCAGTAGAGGTCCCTGAAAGTCTTATCTCATGCCTATGGCCACAGATCTAACAGATGGAGCAGACAGAGGACCCCCAGTGTGCACACCAGTTACGGAATTATGTGACTTTGGGACTTGTCAGTCCTTTCCTAAGTCCTATGGCCACAGATCTAACAGATGGAGCAGACAGAGGACCCCCAGTGTGCACACCAGTTACAGAATTATGTGACTTTGGGACTTGTCAGTCCTTTCCTAAGGCTTCCTCCTTCACTGATAAAGTGAAACCGGCAGCCAGTGCTGCGTCTGAGAATTAGGGAGAATCCCCAGGACAAAGGTCCTGGTGACTACTTGGGAAAGTCCCGAAATCTCTGCCACAGGGCCTGATTGCCAAGAGCAGCAGTCTCCCCAAACAACGCAAGGCAGTCCCGCAGAAGCGTGGTTGTATCAGCCTTAGCGCACTTCCACAGCCAATTGCTCCAACTGTTGGAATCTGGGGAAAGCCCAGACTGCCTGGGGCCCACACTCTGCTGGCTGGCTTGAAAAGCTGTTACAGGCACCAAGTTTGGCTGGCTGCCCTCTTGCCAGTGTCAAAGGACTTGGGAGTCCGATGTTGATGCAAGGTTTGGAGGCTTTATTCAGGAAGTGCAGTCTAAGAATTAGCTAGGCTGAACTGTCTCAAAGGCTCAGGAACATCAGCAGGGTTTTTAATTTGAAAAGTGTGAGAAATGGGTGGAGGTTATTCCCATTGAGGGGCTGCTACGTGCAATCTTGAAGACTGTGCTTTTGTTATTTCATGGTCAGTCTTGTAACTCTTCAACTCATTCTTGAGTTGAAGGCATTATCTGGCTTCCACAAGCTGGATGCCATCTTGTTCCTGGACAGCTGTGACTCCAAAGGAGGATTGGTTAGTTCTGCAAGTTACTGATTAGCTCCTATTGTCTTTTCCCAAGCACTCAGTTCTGCAGCATTTTCTCATGACCTATTTGTGGGCCAAGGTTACAAAAAAACTATATGGCTAGCATTCTGCTTGAAGCTGTATTCTACAAAGTGCCTCTCTCTAAGGCTAATTATCTATGACTATTTGCTGTGGTGGGCTCTTACACTTGGATCTTTTAATATTAATATTAATATTATATTATATTAATATAATGGTAATATTATATTATATATTATTAATATAATGGTAATATATTATATAATAATATTATAATGCTAATATTATATTCTACTGGTGTATTTATCTATTTTTTGCGCTAGTATCATGGTTTTGATTATAGAAACTTTATAGTATATTTTAATATCTAGTAGGGCTAGTCTGCTCTTGTAGTTTCTCTTTTTCAGTGTTTTTCTGGCTATCCTTGCATGTTAATTTTTTCATGTAAATTTTAGTATCAGCTTGTCTAACTCTATAAAATAGTTTGTTGGTATTTTTATTGGAATTTCAATGATTTTATAAATTAAATTGGAGAATCAGAATGTTTTAATTTTAAGTCATCCTATCCAAGAACAGGGGATGTCTTTCCATTAGTTCATGTCTACTTTTGTGTCTTTCAGGAGTGTTTTAACATTTTCCGTGTATAGATTTTGCACTTTTAAATTTATTCCTATGTATTTAGGCTTCTTTGATGCTATTATAAATGGGGGTTTCCCTACCATGGTATCCTGTTTATTGTTTGTGTATAAAAGGCTATTGATTTTATATATCAATTTTATATCCTGCTACTTTACTAAATTCTTTTATTTGAATTAGTTTTTTAAAATTTTTATTGAATCAAAATTGATTATACATATTTTTGGGATTCAACATTGAGATATGTTGATCAAATCAATATTACTAGCATATATATTGTTACAAATCGTAATTATTCTTTATGCCTCTTGTCCAATCAATCCCTCCCCCATCCCCCTTTCCCCCCCCTCTAATCACCCTAATTATTTGAATTGGTTTTATTGTTGATTTTTTTTTTTAGGTATACCATCATAATATACCATCTGCAAATAAAGATCATTTTATTTTTTCTTTACCCATTCTTAAGCCTCTAATTGATTTCTTTTCTCTAATCCATTGGCTCTACTACAATGCTGAATAGTAGCAGAGATAGTGAACATTCTTGCCTTGTTCCTGGTCTTAGTGGAAATGCCTCTAGTGTTTCTCCATTATATAAAATAAAGGTTTTAGGACTAAGATACATTTGTGTGTGGGTAGCTTTGTCAGAGTTTAACATAAAAGTAAAAAAAAAATTTTTTTTTTTTTGTCCTTTTTGTGACTGGCCGCACCGCGCTCAGCCAGTGAGCGCATCGCGCCGGCCATCCCTATATAGGATACGAACCCGCTGTGGGAGCACCGCTGCGGGAGTGCCGCTGCGCTCCCAGCACTGCACTCTCCCGAGTGCACCACGGGCTCGGCCCTAAAAATCTTTTTAAAGTCGACATGTTACTAGCTGATTTTAAAAACAAACAACAACTTATCAATTTCTTTGACCAGAATCTAGGTACTCAGAGAGTTCCAGATATTTAGATAGAACATGGGAGCAGAATTAAGGAGAGTTTTCTATGAAGGCTACTCTCTGTACTCTGTCAAATTCTAGGGCAACAAACACATCACATTCAAAAGCTGGAAGGTTTCATATTTCATCTTGGGAATAGCAATGAGATATGTCATTATTATCATTTGAGTTTGTATTTATGTCATTTGAATTTATGTAAAATATCTTTATGCATTGTCATGGTCACAAAGAAAATTTTACCCTTGAATTTGTCTTGTAGTGTGTGCTGTATTTATGGAGTTTAAAGATTAATCATCCCAAAACATTGTTTCTGCTTCGAGGAAATCATGAATGCAGACATCTTACAGACTATTTCACCTTCAAACAGGAATGTAAGTATAATCTTATTTCTCCTGAACCTGTTAGTTATCCTTTTAGCCTGTCCCAAAGTGAATCAAATATAAAGAAAAAAGAAACTAATGGAACTCAAATCCTTCCTGTTCTATTCTCCACCACCCCTTGGTAAGAACTAATATTTCACCTTTTAGGACATTTATTTTGAAAATAACTTCTGGATTCAACCCATGTTGATAAAATAATAAATTTAGGGTATTTGAAAAACATAAAGAAGTCCAAAATAGATAAAATTATCCATAATTACACCATTTAGAGATAATCACTAGTATCTCACTATTTGGTGTATAGTCTTGAATGTTTCTGTGTATATAAAACCTATTATGAAATAGTTCAAGTATATATATATTTATCTGTATATATGTTTAAATTAAAATTGGGCTCATCTTATATGTACTGTTTAATAAATTGCTCTTTTCACTTAATAGTGTTTTTTTCATATAATTCAATATTTTTGGAAACATGATTTTAAAATGTTCTTTTAATGTTTTTTAAGTATTTCATCTTATGAATGCACTATTATGTTTGGAACCAATTTAGTAGCAACTGTAGGACATTTAGATTGTTTCCAACTATAAATACTACTGTAATAGTAAAAAAAAAAAGTTTAATGAAAAGGTAGAATTTTTTTGAAAGTCAACCTTTTACTAGCTGATTTAAAAAACAACAAATTCACAAATTTCTTTGACCAGAATCAAGGTACATATAATTGGCTCTTAACTACTATTTGGTATGATAGTGACTACTTTGGGATGTTTGAGAGCTCATGCCCCAGGGCATGTGCATTTATTTCTTTTTTTCCCAGATATCTCTCTGTTTATAAGGTCTACAGCCTACTTTGTTCATGTCATTTCTTCAGAGATTTTCTTCTCTGGTTGCTTTGCTAAATTAAAACCTCATAATTTTACCCTCATATCCTGCTTTTTTTTTTTTCTTTTTTTTTTTCCTTTTTGTCTTTTTTCGTGTCCGGCAAC